GTAAAGATAATCGTTTTCAGTGAGGATCACCACATGATATAGGATCGAAACGGACCAATCAGACCAACAGAAATTCGCCGACAGTCAAATTCTTTGCTGACTTATTCCATGCTCACAGATGTCCTTCCGTTATAAAGTTTCAAATAAGACCTTGAGCGTCAAAATAAGCAACCAATCATGAATAAGCCGATAACACATAAAGAAAATTTCCGCGTTATAACTGACTTTTATCTTAATTGAAAACAATCCATCCATACGCAGATAAAAAAACATCCAAAGTCCAGTGGCTTTTCTTCCCTAAGATCGACATTTCATTGGTATACGTATTCCAATACAACTTATCTCTCTAACCCTTTTTTTTCAAATTTTTGGGGTGTTGGTTTGGGAACTCTGTCGAACTCTCTTTCCTTCGGCGATCCTCAAAACTGGTCACCGCTGGGACCGACTTTTGAAAAGCGTGATAATATTAGTGAGTTTAAGAAAATGTTGACACTATGCCGGGTAGCTTTTGCGCCGGCGCGAAAACTATACAGGATAGGGCTTCTGTTCACACATAAGAACAGGGATTTCGGCGCGATTTCTGTAACGGAGCGAAGCTGCGCCGCGCCGATCTCTAAAGTGGAGAGTCACATATCGGATAGATGTTCATATCATACTGGATAGCTTTTAAGTTTTAAGCTTTCCAGTATAGTGTCAACATAGCCTTAGATTCACGTTTACGGTTAATGCGCCATACGGCAAATTCAAGGTGACAATTTCTCATATTCAGAAATGAGCAGAAATACTTCATATGCATGAATCTAGCATGAATTAGCTACTACTCTTTGTATTATAAATAGTAAACGACAAGTAGAGAGAGAACTTCGTCATGTGTTCGAAATTGACGTTGCCGTTTTCCGTAAAAGTGAATCTAAAACTCTCTAATGGATTGATATGTTACACTTCATTGAGAAAACAGTGTCAGGCATCTGGAAACTTCGAGGAAACTGCTAAACCAAGAGAGATCTAAAAAGGGCTTTTAACTTGCATTCGCATCATCGATTAGCGAGAATCGAGCGAGCGATCATCGTCATTCATTAAATAGATATGAGTCAAGAGATCATATAACAGAACAGGTCAAGCGTGTCGTTCCTAGAAAGGGAGTTGAATTAAAAGAAAAAGGGAAAAACAAGAAATTCTGTATCAATCATATAAGTTTCATAAACTATGTATTTGTTAAAGTAAACTGCAATTGTCTCTTTGCGACCAGATGGCGGAATTTAACAATTTTTGGACAGGATCGGAAAATAGTGAGTAATAACTACAAATAGATATTTTGGCGTTTTTACATGGTACTCCGTACTGCCAAGGTCAGTAATACGGTACTGAAATATGAGATTATTGTCCGCTGTTTTTGGTCAAACATTTTATCAACATATAAGCGATAATTAAAATTAACTACTGGCGCCATCGGTCTGACAAACATTGAATTTCTGCGTTTAAGTTTCTTAGTAATGTCTCTAATTGTTCCAACTTGGGGATCTTTGACGTTCCAAAAAAAGGAAAATTTAAACGTATCCTGTGTTGAACGTTATCTGTGAGTTTTAATTGCTTTAAATTTTGTTTGCTTTATTGACCAGACCATTCACGTAATTTATAAAACATCTTCATTAGCAACCTACTCAGACAAGTTTGCTCAGAATTAAGAAGCTTTTTGACACCAAAAGTTGGTAAACATGTAACCGATCAAAGGAGCTGAAAAATTTGAGGTGCGTACGATATAAAACTTTTTAACAAGAATGGCAGATAGAGATGTTTGTAACTACAATATTTCATAATCATCTATCAATTTTGATCATCCTGACAGAGGACATATTCATGTCCAACGGCCACAAGTGCGCCGTTTTTGAAATATTCACCTATTAGGGTCTGGACCATTTCTCTCTAGCTAGCTTTTTCTCCCCAGAAATGCTAAATCCTTAGTACTCAGGCTAACGAGTTGTAAATTGTTAGGGAACGAGTTGAATTTGCGACTTGGACTGACGGGACCATTTTAACTTTGGGTGAAAGTGGTCATTTGAAATTGTGAGTTACCTTTGTAAAGCCAAACAACATTGTAGTATTTACTTTTATGTAAGGTACGTCGCGGCTCATCAGTGAATTAGAATTGCGACTGGTTAAGTTTGAGTGAGTGAAGTATCAGGTCAAGTCAGGTTTATTTCTCTTTTCAATGAAAGAAACAGAAATTAATGAAAACAATAAGTATTTGCATTTCGTGAGACAGGCATGTAGACAACAGAAACTATAAAAGATAATAATAATAATAATAATAATAATAATAATAATTTATTCACTTAATATAGCGCCTTTAGACATTAAAATGATCAAAAGCGCTAGAGGTAGATCAAAGATAGTTTGACAGTTGTAATAGTCGGCTTAATTGTCCTTTAAATTGACTCCTACAAAGGTACTGTTTTTATTTAATTACTCGTTCATCCTTGACAGAAAGAGTGATGAAACAGTATTTTTAAATAGTGTTTTTCGCATACGATAAATTCAAATTGTATGTTCTAATTCTTTTCATCTCGGTATTTTTTTTTGTTATTAAATTTTGTTTTCTTTTAATTCAATAATTGCCTGATATATCCAGGGCCCGCGGAGCAGTTTTCAAAGTGCGGGGGCCGATCCACCTCTTTTAAATGGTTTACCTGGTGCCGGCTCAATATGTTTTAATACAGTTGCAACTCATCAATCATTTTTTTAAATAGTTTAACAAACGAGAAAGGAGTTAGTAACAATAAGGTGTAACCGTGCACAGCAGCATCATAATTTTCGCGTGTTTCATTTACTTCAAAATAAAGCTTGTCCGTTTTCTCCTTGCGGCTGTTTAGAACCTTTCTTTATTCATTGTCACGGAATGGAGCCATGTTTCAGACGGTTTCAACCTTCGAGCAGCCGAAATTGTCCTTTTCCTGCGATGGCTGCGGATTTACGGGCAGAAGCTTGCAGATCGGGACAATTTCATTTATCATACTCTGCAATATCTTGATATTAAAGTGTGAAGACATGGAACGGTTATCCAGAAATTTTTAGCTCTTCTCAAGCTTTAGAAATTTCTAGCAGATATATTTGCTCCTTCGAGCAGTTATTTTACTGAATATAGTCGCTGGGTGCCCCTGAGTTTTGTAAAGGTAGTAGTTTTGAGGATCACCATATGATATAGGATCGAAACGGACCAATCATCAATTTGGATGCTTCGGCGAGGTCTGTCAGTCGAATATTCTTATTCCATCAAAGATTCTTTTTATTTGAAAATGTGTATTTCTTTTCTTTTCTTTTTTTTTCAAAACGTTGGGGGGGGGTGGGAAGCAGGGGCCTGCCCCTGCGTGGGCCCTGATATCATACTGTGTTTCAAATAACGCATCAGTTGTCTACTTTTTTTTAAGTTCTTTTTCTCTTTTCTTTTTTGACCGTCGCATATACGAGTCAGTAAATATATTTTCTTTATTGTTATGTAGACTGCAAGGTTATCCCAATATAGAGCACCTTCATCTGGTCGATTCATAGCTTGCAAGAGTTGGTTCATAGAAGCACTCATCTATTTACGACTTTGTCCTCAAACATTTTGTTTTCTTCTAATTCGTTCCAGTAACTGTCTGATGTATTACCCAATGTTTCAAGCGCATCAGTTGTCTAGTTTTTGTTTATTTCATGTAGCATGCATGTATACGACTGAGGAAGAGCCAGCAAATAAACTTTGCCTTTGTTGTTTTTTAAATACGCGGAGGTTACCTTGTAGACCGGTTTATTTCTTTTATTTGGCCGGTTCATCGCTCAAGAGTTGGTACATAAAAGCACTCTTATTTATGACTTTGTCCACTCAGAATTTCACTTAGAATTTTTGTGTAATATTATTACTATTTTATTGCATTTTTCTCGGTTCTCAGAGACTGTTCAGTTCGTTATTGGATTGCGTTCGGAAAGTGCTGATTTTAGCCATTTTTGAAAGGGAAAAACCACTTGTTTCCCCATCACAGACAATGATTTTGCCCTCCCTCTATGAAATAAACGAAAACCACCGGGTATTGCATGGAATTTTTGTTTTGAATACAGAACAAAAATCATTGAAAGTTTATGGCAACAACATGCAAGTTAGCAGACTCTACTGATGTATCAATTAATCTGCATAACGAGAGACTCGGGTTCAGTCCGACCTCATACACTCAGCCACACTCCATGTCTGGTGGATCAGTAGGGTTGGCACTTATAGTTAGCCTAGATGACCAATTTTGATTTCTCTATTTCACGGTTTCCGCATCTATGGGACGATACATTTTATGTAATAAGTGAATTAAGGGAGTTATTGACTGGAAATAGCTCTGAAAATTGTACTAACATCAAACGTATTTGAGCCTGCAGCTGCTTGGATCTTTCTCTAAAAATACATCAGTATCGGGGAGATAAAAAACTGTCTTATATTTCGTTTTTTCAGTTGTTCTTGAATCGCGGTTTCAACTTTCAACTTTTTCTTAGTAAACTTGAATGCAGCGATTTTGAAATTGACCTTGGTGCAATTCAATAAACTAAAGAATATGGTCTGCGATCGGATAAATTTCCTGAGGGTACTTCTTTATCTAAGTTGTCCCCGGGTTACTATTATATAAATTAACATACTGATAGGACCATATTATATCTATCCCTATTATATTATAGCTATCCCCATTAGGTATATATATAATCTGTGTAGCTATATACCCCTTTTGGTCTGAAAATGGGGGAGACAATTTATCCCCAGTTTTAACCTGAAATAGAACAGAGTAAGGAAAGTCAAATTTGTTTGTATGAAATAGGGTAAAGGATTTAGGAATGATATTACGGCGCACGGCCCCACCGCAATTTCCAGAGCGTCCACATCCCACCACGACTCGTGGTTATGCATCGGTTCTCCTTCACCAACGAAATTCATTTTTATATGTCAATGAATATTATTCAATATTATTTTATTTTTACAAGCTTGGACGATGGCTGACATGACAACATTGATAGTTATCAGTTCCTTTATCATGTTCCCAGCTGTGATGATGGCACAGGAAGTTGTAAACCATGGAGGTAATGACTAATGACATCAGGACCAAAATTTTATTGCGCACCTGTTTGTAGGCATTATGTTTAAGCACCCTGTCGTTGTTTCACATGCAGAAAGCTGTCAAAAAATCATTTTGAAGTAAAAAAAAAGGAAATAGTGATTTTTACACATAAAAAATGTTCGATCAAGACTTCAAAACGAGCCAAACGCCTTCGTTCAAGACTGATCCTCTATTTTAAATGAATTTGTATGTTAGAAAATCGTGCTATTATTATTATTATTATTATTATTATTATTATTATTATCATCATCTTCATTTTTCTATTGTTTTAAAATTATAATTATTCCTGTTCCTTATATACTACCGTGGCGAAGATTTATAATGGGGAGCTTATAAAGCAACAACGACGGCGACAGTTACAAAAACGTCAATATTGATATCTGTATTGTAACTCTGGTTATTGACCTGATTGGTTAATTAAGTCTCGATGTGACTGGTCTTGTGTCAGTTAAGCCGTGTTGTTATTGGCTATAAAGACTCGGGTCGTTTCTATCGGTCTTTTGTCACAGTTTAACAGCGACGATCCAGCGACAGGAAATGGTAATGTCAACAATCACACTTCTTATTGCTGAATATGCGCCATTTCCAGACGAAACATAAAATCGACCGGGACTCTGCAACGCGTATTACGTATTCTACAGACTACCATAACTAGTACTCATCTTAGAAAGCTGGCTTACTAAATTAGACCAAAAGCCACTGGAATCGCAGTCAACAGGCACGGCACAAACGACTTATGGCAGACTCAAGCAAAACTGACCACGACAGAAGTGACAATTTGACTAACAATAAACGACTGTAACAACAAACGACTTTGACTGTGGAGATGACTACCCGACACAGTCCTATTCAGGACTACACCCTGACGATCATGCTCCACCTACTTATAGATTTATAATTACTGTTCATTTATTGTTTTGCTGTTTCGCAGTTTGTCCCGTTCCGATGAATAAAGAAGAAGAGGAGATAATTAAAGAGCAGGAAAGAAACAGAGAACAAATGGAAGAGATCATGAAAGAGATTGAAATCAGTTGTTTAGGTGAGTGATAAAAACCATAGAATTAATAATTAAGTACAAGTAAAAATAACTTGAGGTCGTTTTTGTTATACAAAGAACAATGTAAATTATGCATTTCTGCACCCTTTCTCTTCATTGGAAGCGTTGTCGCTCGTGGGACAAAAAAATCCCGCGCGGATACCGGGGGGGAGGGGGTGAACTCCGGATTTCAAGGGACAGATCCTTAGAGCTTTTGTTCCAACGCCTACTCTCCATTGTATATACAACGCTCCTCATTCAATCTCAATTCGATTATAGTGATATTGTCTGGGGTAATTGTGGAAAAACTTTGTTTGACAGGCTACAGAAGCTTCACAACCGTGCTGCTCGTGTTCTAACCTTTTCTAGTTATGATGCTTATGCCAACCGCTTATTTAAACAACTTAATTGGAAAGACTTAAGCACTCAGGTTCAAATACAAAGCCCTAATGGTTCACAAGTCTTTAAATAATCTTGTTTCAGGATATTTATCCTCTAAATTGTTAAACGATGTGAAACGCGTTACTCCCTAAGGGAATCTGTTAACAAACTGAGTGGGAACTAACTTCATGAAGAACAGCTTCAGTGATAGGGGAGATTTATATGAGAGGGCTAAATTTTTGACAATACCAAGTAACTGCACTGAAGCACACGTACCATCACTGCGTTGTGGCCAGTACCTTATGCATGCGCACAACCATATCATCCTAGCAGCGGCAGCTAATCAGCTTGGCATAGCCGTTGGATCAACTAGCAGGAGATAGCTGGCGTATCAAAGACCATTTGATTGCCGAGGCGAGTGCAGGCACTGGTTTAAGCGCCAGCTCCACCATAAACAAGTGGTAGCTGTTGGTTGGGAACTGCAAAACAGTTCTCCCACGGCATGCGTCTTGAGAAGGTATCAGAAAAATTGACCTGTGTGCCCAAATAAATTTGAAACAATACCAATTAACTGCATTGAAGCACACGTATCAACTCCGCGGCCGGTATGGCCCGTACCTTACGCATGTGCACAACCATGAGCCCCAATAAGGGCGAAACAGCTGTCCATGGCTGCCACTGCCGGGGTGATATGCTTGTGCGCATGCGTAAGGTACTGGTCATAACGCGGAGTTGGTACGTCTGCTTCGGTGCAGTTAATTGGTATTGTTTGTAAATCTTTAAGTCATGCAATTTAAACGATTGGCTCGTCTGGGGGAGGAGTTTCTGATCCATGACACATAACTATTCTAAACATCAAATCCCCCCGAACACATTTTTTTCTTAGCAACACTTTTCTTCCAAGGACATATTGTTTCTTCCACATCTCCCAGCCAGCAAAAATTGGCCTGAAGAACAGATATTTTGAGCAACAGATCCACTGGGTGCCCCTGAGTGTAGCCTAGCAACACCGATACGATAGACTGGGGTAACTTTCGCAAAAGAGAACTTCTGTCGGCAAATTTGAGGAAAAGTTGTTAAACACACTTTTCTAGATGAGAATTATGTGCTGAACACGAAAATTTTGTTTACCAAGGTTGGTTCCACCATTTAGACCTTGAAATCAGCCGTTAAGGTTAGTATTAATAAATTGTGACATGAAAACGAGGTTGCATGTTGTATGAGGATGCAGAGTACTCTCTAACGGTTAAAATTCGTTCAGATCAACAGGTGACTGATACAACTTATTACTTACAGTACCTCGCAGAAACCGTCTGAAAATCACGTGATTTTTCTAGTCACGTGACCATTGAAAACGGGGTTATAGGCTATTCAGAATTTTGACAAATTTGACGGCACAGTCAAAAAAGAAACAAAATTACCAATCCAGCAATTCGCTCCAATAGTTACAGCAGCTATAGAAATTTAATTTTCAGCTATTTCCTAAGATATTTACAGTAAGTTTGCGATCTATATATTGCAGACACCTTACTTACATTTTCAAGTATTGAATTTCTAGATGTTTGCAAAATCCTTGAAATAATTAACAAAAACTGCATTTTCTTAAAACTACTTTTAACTTTCACGCCCTAACCATTCTGGATACATGCTGTACTTATAACTAAGAAGGAAGGTCATAACATTCGATTGATTGCAGCCATTTTAGATGCGTCTGATGTCAGCTTCTGAAACATATTTAAGACCTAAATTGATATTGTAAACATCAGACATCCTACAGGACGAAAATTTAAAAAAACCCGTTATTAGTCCATAGACAATTATAAAACAAGAATAAAAATTTGTTAGAGAAGCTAAACGCTTTGTTCTGCTGAACTGTACCATTTACTGTCCTTGGTTTGCAATGACATTACCATCAACTTCATTTCTGCAATTGAGATCTTCAGTGCTTCTGCATTTTGATGCTCCTGTACACGGCAGTCTAACATTCCGGCAGCTGAACCTATTTGTTGAACATCCTGATTTGCAGCTACAGGTAATCATCTCGGTACAGCTTTCGGGTACAGGCTAGGGGCAAGAGTCATTAACTTAGGCACGAGCTTTCCGTCATCAGAATTAGTCCATCCCATGGTTTCTGGAAGTGGGAGGGTGGGGTTCGTTTTATGGGCTTGTCTCCATAACATTGCTTGAAAGCGTGCGCTAGTAATATGCCATCATGCTGCATCACTTGTGTGGGGAAGTGCCTCTGGGAATCTGCACCAACCAAACAACGTCGCACGTGCTTTATCACATCCCTCTGCATTAGCAGCATTGTACACTGCAAATGAATTTTTCTTCGGACTTCACAGTCGTGTCATCCAGGTCTCCATCTGCAAAACTTTCCAATAGCGTTTGGTCATGAGGTGATGAGCAAATGCCTTCCAGGCAGTTTTCTTGCTATGCTTAGCAAAGAAAGAGACCGTATCACAGCCTGTTAGCGCATGAAAAGGAAAGATGGCTTCCCTGTACCCATCAAATGCAACATCTATCCGGTCATAGTCCTTTCCACAGACAAGGGCAGCTTTCAAAAATCTATCTACGAGATCGTCGAATTTGTTACACTCTGATGGTCTTCCTAGAGCCATGACTAATTCTTGACCGGCAATTACTATTGTCGAACGTCCTGGGACTGGTGTGACCCGAGGATGTTCCATCCCACCCAAGACAGCAGCTCTATTATCACGGATTGATTTCCAGATTGTGGCTGACCATTGGTATCTGCGATAGCAAGCGAAACAGAGACTAACTCGTAGCTGAAGCAAATCTACTCTTCTACCAGCATCGTACGCTGTAATGATGCGCTGGAGGATCATTCTGTCAGTTTCGATAGCGGCAGACTTTTCTCTTTCTTTCTTTTCAGCCTCATAAGGAGAAACAAATGTCACGGCTCTACTTTTGGGAAGAGGATCCCTAAGCTTCTTACAATTCTCATCTTCGTTTGGGATCATAAGCCTTTCTTTAACAAAAGTGTCCAGTTGTTTCTGGCCGAAGCTGCCTGCTTTCAACAGAGATTCTCATCTATCTGTGTGGTTGCCACGTCCTTAGTAACCATGTTCTTTAATCTCTCAAGAACCGTTTCTGCTTGTTGATTGACGTTGAAGATGTCAGTTTGCCTGATGCAGCAACAAGCCACAACAACACTGCGGCACGGTCATCTTTAGCTATATCTATTGATCGAGATATACTTCGTTAAAATTAGCAATTTCACGGAATGATACTTGCCCTCAGCCACAATTTGGTCATTCACACCTGACACACGCAAGGAAAGGTCGTGGTCACACTTTGCTCCAACAAGTATCCGCTGACTCATTTTAAACGTTGTCACTGAGAACAGTATTTGCTTTTTAAGCATTGACCCGTCTTAACAAAAAATACACAGTTCCCATTCGATAGAAGAGTTTTTGCTGCGGAGAGCTGAACTTGCAGCCATTTCTGGCAGTGGATGGGTATCCTTCGACGAATCAAGCGATTTCCTTAATCTACTTAATTATATCTTACCCTTATCAGTCTACTTTGCATAGCAGCTCTTGTGCCAGCTTAAATCGTCAGCTTTGTTTTGCTTCGATTGCCTCCAATATCGCGTCTGTTACATCTGTATTGTTTGTGTCTCCTAATTTTCTTTGTTCTTCAGAGGACTCTTTCAGTAACGCAGGCCTTGCTGTATTGCGTTAAAGAAGATATCTTTTTTCGTTTCCTGGCATATAATGCATTTACTGAAGGAGAGTGTGAGGGCAGATCTCTTCCAACTTAGCCGCTTCTCCAACATTAAAAATCATGTAATCCACGAAAACAATCTTTCCATGCAACTCTCCATAATAAAAGTAACTCGAATGAGCAGAATGGTTTTTTGGAATGAAACGTAGAGCCTGACTTTCGTTTTCTAGCCAGGGCCAATGCTTCATGCATTTATATGGGTTTGTTTGGTTTTTTTTTGGCCCAGCAAAAAGGGTTTTTAAAAACAAGTTATCCATCCATCAAAAATCACAATGCTGGAGAAGTGACTTGCTTAAAGCTTTACTGTTAAAAAGTACTTAAAAGATCGACTACATAAAATCATTAATTAAATGGAGGAAAACGAAAAATAAAATTCAGCGGTTACCTTTCTGTTGAAACAAACATATGACACGCTGCACTGACTTTCGTTTCCTAGGCAAAGTCAAAGCTTCAAGCATTAAAATGGGTTTACTTATTTGATAATCTTCGTAGCAAAAGAACATTTTTTACAAGTTTTCCATCCATTAACGTTGGGGTAGTGATTTGTTTTAAGCTATACATTGGTAAGAAGATGGACGATATAAAATCGTTGAATGAGGGAAACACAACGCAGGATAAAACTTGGCGCAACCTTTTTGCTGCCAGATCTATTTTTGTTTTAATGCTCGCACCAGATGTCACTAGTCCTGATGAAGACCTTTTGTACTAACTGAAATATATTCCTTATTAAAAATACCCTTGGCATAGTTCATCCTTAATCAAAACTGGTTTTATTTAAAAGAAAATGTTTCCTTCAGATAGTTATACGACGAACACACTCGTCAACTTCTTTCACTAGCGTCTCTGAATTTCCAAATAACTTTTTTTCAGGCTTCAACCGTCTATTAGTTTATTTCATAACAAAAAAAAAATTACAGCTAGCTAATTTGGGGCAATAATTTGAGTCAAATGTGGTTTTGAAAAGCGGGGAAAATTTTAGCCTCGTTTCCATGTCCAGAAATAAGCTCATTTTTTTCGAGTCAGATTTTGTGGTTAAAAACTCAAAATCAAGCTTGGTAAACAAATTTTTCGTGTTCAGCACGTAATTTTCATCTAGAAAAAAGTATTTACCAACTTTTCCTCGAGTTTGCCGACAGAAGTTTTATTAGCGGCTTTTTACCAAAAGTTGTCCCAGTCTACGATGCGTCCTTAGGGGTGCAAAGTTTCTTGATTGAAGTTTTGAGACTAACGTTCCAAGTCCTTTCACAAACTTGTTTAGTAAATCACGCAGTGGTTGGTGACATTGAACGAAGAGTATTCATAGATTATAATAATTTGAACTCAGTTGAACTGTTGCAAATAAACAACTTAAACAACTCTTGATCGCCTGAAAACTAACTTTGTCGGTGGATTACTTTACGTCAAATTCTTACCTAACTTCCACTTGCCGATTTGTAGATGAGTGTCAAACAGGACAACATAACTGCCATGATGATGCATACTGCACCAACACCAAGCGTTCCTTCACTTGTACTTGTAAGCCAGGATATACTGGGGATGGTGTCAACTGTGCAGGTAGCAAACCATACGGAGCTTAAACTAACAGGATTTCAGCTTCAGTTGTATTCTATTCCATACCATAAAGATTAGAGCCAATCAGAAAGCTGGAAACCGCTTTCATATTTAGTCAGTGGTATGTCTCAGATCGGTAGTTTCTTGGTGTTGTGGACTGGTGCAGTCACAAAATGACGTAATACAAAAGATTAAAAAGACACTGTACAATATCTACACCACATAACAATTATAGCTTACAGAGAATAGTTTCCCCGTCTCCAAGAAACACCCCACAGGTCGTATCCACGATAAATGTTGGCGTTACAGTCGAACCTGTATTGAGTGGTCACCCTCGGAGAATGGCTAAGAGACTGCTTAATACAGAGTGACCGCCTAATACAGGTTGCAAGAAATACAGTTCAAAGAATTAGATCTCCAGTGCTGATCACAACAGACGTTTGACCTCAAATAGAAACATTCATTTCCGGCGTTTTAATGATTTGCGAAAATAAACAGGGAAATCAATTGTTGTACCTCGTGTGTTACATTATTTGAAACTGTATGAACACCGTGTGACCGTTTAATACAAAGTTAAGACAATAGAAAAAGTCTCGTTGGGACTTCGCAAATAGTGACCGCGACCGCTTAATAGAGGTCGAAATTACAGTACATCAAGAGAAGTAATTTTCGGGACTTTGAAAACTGACGGCTTAATAGAGGGTGACCGCTTAATAGGGAGCCGCTTAATACAGTTTCGACTGTAGTTGCAGCCCCCAGATCCCAGTAGCCTGCAAACAGGCTCACATGTGCGAGTTCTCGCTGGCCTAGCGTGCTCGAGCCGCGAAAATTTTCTTTTTCGCAGGCTAAACTCTACCAGCGAAAGCTTTCCAAGTGTGCAACATGTGAAACAGAGTCGGCGTTAAAATCGAACGAAGTCAGTTGATTATTCAGCATTACTCTTGATTGCAGACATAAACGAGTGTGAGACTGGAAACCACCTCTGTGACATCTATGTTTCAAAGTGCATTAACAATAAAGGATCTTACAAGTGTGTTTGCAAAAGTGGATATAAAGATATGTGTACAGGCAGAGCAGGTAAATATACCACCGAGCACTTTAAGATATGCTTATTGAAATGTATACTTTAAAATATCTTCTTCTTTTCCCTGGTTTGCGTGGGGTGAATCAGGTTGAAATGATAAAAGAATCGACAAAATAGGAACGTGTACGGCATATTATGATGCTTAACAGATCTACGGTTTGATAATTCAGCATTAACTCTTAATTTGCAGACAGAAACGAGTGTGAGACGGTAAAACACAACTGTAACGCCATCAGTTCATTGTGCCGTAACACTAAAGGATCCTTTAGGTGTGCTTGCAGGAAAGGGTATTCCGAACTAACCTTAGTCTGCTACACAGCAGTTTTTTAGTGTCGTCACGCAACGTTCCTCCCCACTAACCCTGGGCTTTGGAATAGTGGGGAGGAGCGTTGCGTGACGGCACTAAAAACGGCTGTGTAGCAGACTAAAATAACCTGAGATCAGGCTCAATTTTCGTTTCGCTTTGTAAATAACATTCCGGCGGGCAAGGCGGTGGCCGTTAGAGAGAATGTATGAGAACCGCTAGAATTGGGCCTGATCTCAGGTTCATTCCAAACGTTTACCTGAACATATTAAAATGTACTTAAGCAATAGACCACACTTTAAATGGGTTTACCGGCGTGATAAAACTATTTTAGTGAGATATGTCTTATCATATCTTTGTGGAACCCTTTACTTGGATCCTTCTGTGTCATTACACGAGAAAAGCTCGTGTTCTCCCAACATCCCAAGTGGGTTATCACGCCGGTAAACCCATTGAAAGTGTGGTCTCTTGTTTTTATAAAATATAACTGTACGATTTCTATGAGTTCCAATCACAGCGCGCGTACCATCTTAGTTATTTCATAAAGGTAAATATACCACTGAGCACTTCAAGATATAGGCTCGGGTTTACGTGAATCAGGTTTAACAGAAATTGTGTAATTACGTCAAAAACCCTCGTTTTCTTTTGCTTTGAAAATTTTGGTTGGTAGAGATTGAATTAAAGAGATCAGAACTAATAAACTATGTACGGTGGCCCATAAGGGACATCTCGATATTTTTCATTTCCACTTATATAATTTGCGATTTGACTTACCCTCGATCAAAGTTAATAAATAGCAATAAAAACTTATATCTCTCGATTTCGACTTAAAACTCGCGATGGTAAGTTATAACTCTCGATCACAACTTATAACCCGCGATCGCCACTGATAACTCGTAATCCCGACTTACAACTCGCGATCGCCACTTATAACTCCCGATCGCTTCTTACGATTCGCGATCGCTACTTATAACTCGCGATCACCACTTATAATTCGTGATCGCAACTTACAACTCCCGATCGCCACTTAGAAGTCGCGATAGCTACTTATAGTCGCGATCGCCAGTTGTAACTCGCGATCACCAGTTGTAACTCGCGATCGCCACTTGTAACTCGCGTTCGCCACTTATAACTCGCGATCGCTACTTACACGCTATTTATAACTCCTCATTTTATTATATATTTTCCATCCACGACCCACATCGACCCTACACAACCCCAACACGACACTACATCGACCTTACATCGATCCTACATCGATCCCCCATCGGCCCTACACTCAACTTTTTTTTCAACACTGCTTCGATCAGAAAAGTCACAGCAAAGTAATTCCGCGTACCAGACATAACTAATCGATGATCAATGACATCAATTGGTAATCAATGAGTAATCGATGAGTAATCAGTTGATTAGTCATTGATTATTGGCGATGATCAATGAGTAATCGAAGCCCAAAAATTTTGTGGCCTATCGATTACTCATCGATGACATCGATTACTCATTGATGTAATTGATTACTCATCGATGACCCATCGATTACTCATCGACTATTAAACTGCGCACGAAAGACACTTTTCTTGCCTTCTGGTGCCATTTTTTTTTCGTTTGTCATTATTTTATCTGTGTTAGACGCATTTTTCCTTGTATTATCCGAAGATCCTGTTGACGAGAGACGCAAAGTGCTAATCACAAATATAGATGATTTTCAATTGTACAATATTTCACTTTACCCAACTCTTTATTTAATAACAAAACCACTAAACAGTAACCAACCAGTCTGAAAAATGAAACTAACATTTACGCTGACAAGAATCGACTACGTGGTTATCGATTTTTTTTTGTGGGTGTTTGTCAGCAAAGTAAGACTACTTTGGCTTAGGGAAACGTCCGTCATAAGCAGTTACATAACCAGCTTGAGTATTGAATATTTGCACAAGTTCCGATTTTTTGGCCTTTGAGCTAAACACGATTCCTTTATCTTTTAAGAGTCGTTTTAGAACCGCTATTGTTATTTATGAGTAATGGATGAAATCAATGACTAAACAAAGCAATCAATGTCTAATCGATGCAATCGATGACTAATCGATGACCAAAAATTTTGTGGCCTATCGATTAGTCATCGATTACTCATTGATCATGAGCAATAATCAATGACTAATCAACTGATTACCTATTGATTACTCATTGATTTCATTGATGTCATTGATGTCATAGATTAGTTATGTCTGGCGTGTAAAAACCGCCATGTCGCATTGTCCCGATGGCGGTACTGAATATGCGCACGCTCACTTGCTGGAGTACAAAGCCATCCTCTAACGCGTGATCGAAAACGATCGCGAGTTGTAAGAGGCAATCGCAAGGTTTAAGTAGCGATCGCGAGTTATAAGTGGCCATCGCGAGTTATAAGTGTCGATCGCGAATTGTAAGTGGCGATCGCGAGATATAAGAATAACTCCGACTTCTGCAACTTTGATTGATGTAATCTATACTAATTGTCCAGATAAAGTTGTGTGTTCGGGGGTTCGTCATATCAGTATTAGCGATCATAGCATAGTTTTTGCGAAAATTATCCGTGAATGGAATGTCTGGTGGGCACAATGCTATAACCTACAGAAACTTTCGAAAATTTAATCGGATAAATTTTCGGAACGATATTGCATCTCATTGTTGGGATAACATATACAATTCAACTGATCCCAATGAAATGTGGCTACAATGGAAAAGCTCGTTTCTATCTATTGTTAATAAGCATGCTCCCTTGAGAACAATGCGTGTTCGCACGCGTAGCTCCCCATGGATTACATCTGAGCTTAAGAAACGAATGCATGATCGGGATATTCTAAAGATTAAAGCAAGTAAATAGAATGATTCAAATGACTGGTCACTTTTTAAGAAACAACGCAATATAGTAAATAGCGAAATCAGATTAGCCAAGCAAGCCTATTATCAAAATAGTTTTAACAAGTATACGGGCGATTCTAAAAAGACCTGGCAGACTATCAATGAACTTACTTTGCGAAAATCTGGGAAAAAATCGGTGACATCTCTGAAAGTAAATGGAGTATCAATAACAAATCCAACTGTGCTGTCGAACCAATTTAATAATCACTTTGCTACTATCGGTCCAGAACTTGCTAGCAATATTGATTCCTCAAATAGTGATGGTTATCAAAAGTACCTCACTGGCACAGATAAACGGTTTCAGCTCGATCCGACCAGTACAAATAAAGTTCTCTCACTTTTGAATCGTCTAAATAAGTGAAAGGCAGCTGGCCTTGACAAGATATCTGCTAGGCTCATTCGGGAATGTGCAGATCTCATTTGCATTCCTATCCGTGATATTTTTAACCAGTCAATAAGTCAAGGCATATTTCCGGATGACTGGAAATGCGCAAAGGTCACCCCACTTTTTAAACAAGGCGATCGGGACGACTTAAATAATTATCGTCCAATTTCGGTGATCTCAGTTATGGCCAAGGTCTTTGAAAGAATCGTCTATGATCAATTATATGCCTACCTAGAAGAGCACAATATAATCTGTAAATTTCAATCAGGCTTTCGTGCTATTCACTCAACTGTCACGGCTCCCCTTGAGGCCACAGACACTTGGGCGTACAATATTGACCGCGTTAAAATCAACGCCGTTGTTTTCTTAGATCTCAAAAAGGCCTTCGACACAGTTGACCATGAGATTCTTTTATCAAAATTAAACAATTACGGCATATATGGTAACGCGCACCAATGGTTTAAGTCATATTTAGAGAATCGTACTCAAATGTGCTCCATCAACGGATCGCTCTCTCAAAGCTGTTTATTAAGTTGTGGTGTTCCCCAGGGGACGAGTTTAGGTCCATTACTATTTCTGTTATACATCAACGATCTTCCAAACTGTCTTTCAAATTGTGAGCCGAGGATGTACGCTGATGACACCCACCTTACATACGCAGGTGATAATGCAGACAATATTCAGTTGCATCTAAATCAAGATTTAGAAAATGTTCACAATTGGCTGAGAGCAAATAAACTTACTCTAAATATGACTAAAACCAAATTTATGCTTATCGGATCTAGGCAGAGGCTAAGTACTCTCACAGAGTCCCCGACATTTGCAATTAATGATTTTGAAGTTAGCCAGGTCACTACTGCAAAATCCCTTGGAGTGACCATCGATGACAGACTTGATTGGAGTGGCCATATCGAGAAAGTATTGGGGCCATAAAACGAATAAGGCACCTTGTCCCTCAGGCGACCTTACAACTAATATATCAAGCTTTAATACAGCCACACTTTGATTATTGCAACATTGTTTGGGGAAACTGTGGGATAACCTTACGGAATAAGGTTCAAAAGCTACAAAACAGAGCAGCCCGTGTTTTGACCTACTCAAGCTATGACGTAGATGCTGGTCACCTTTTCAAACTTCTAGGGTGGAAAAACCTAGCTTGCCAGCAACAATTTCAAAGAGCTACGATGGTTTACAGGTCTCTGCACGTGTTGGCTCCAAACTATCTTAGTTCTAAATTTGAAAGACGAGAAGTCGCATATAACCTAACGGACTCTGAAAATAAACTCAATGTTCCATTACCGAGCACAAACTATTACAAAAACAGCTTCAGCTATAGTGGCGCCATTCTCTGGAACAGTCTTCCTTGTAACTTAAGGGAAGCAGAGTCCCTTGGGCAATTTAAATGATTACTCAAAGAACTGTAAGGCACGGCATTCGTGGAAAGCAGCTTTTTTATTTAAATATTTTTATTATATTAGTATTAGGCATTTTTAAAGCTGACGAATTTTGTACCGTGGATAAATAAAGATTATCTATCTATCTATCTATCTATCTATCTATCTATCTATCTATCTATCTACCTACCTACCTACCTACCTACCTACCTATCTATCTATCTATCTATCTATCTATCTATCTATCTATCTATCTATAACTGGGGATTGCGAGTTATAACTGGCGATGGCAAGTTTAACTGGCGATCGCGAGTTAAAAGTGACGATAGCGGGCTGTAAGTCGCGATCGCGAGTTACAACTGGCGATCGCGAATTTTAAGTGGCGATCGCGAGTTATAAGTAGCGATCGCGAATCGTAAGTAGTGATCGGGAGTTATAAGTGGCGATCGCGAGTTGTAAGTCGCAATTACGAGTTATAAGTGGCGATCGCGGGTTATAAGTTGCGATCGAGAGTTATAACTTACCATCGCGAGTTTTAAGTCGAAATCGAGAGATGTAAGTTTGTATTGCTATTTATTAACTTTGATCGAGAGTAAGTCACATCGCAAATTATTAAGTGGAAATGAAAAATATTGAGATGTCCCTTATGGGCCACCGTACAACTAACTACTTGAAGAGCGCAAAATAGCGCGACGTATGAAAGAATGAATGACGGAATGACGCATTGTCAATGATTTTTTTTTTTACAGGTAGGATAGAGTCAAGTTGCAAGAAAATTTATGATAAGACCTTGTGAGTACAGTATATGTCAAATTCTTCGTACACGTTCTACGCCGACACACATGAACTGTCACGTTTTATGCGAGTGTTACGCAATGTTTTGTGATCTAATGCACCTATCAATGGTTTGCCCCAGGGTGGGGGGGCGGGCAACCCACGGGAAATTTTACATTTTCAGTTTTCAAATGTCAATTCCCCCACCCTTGGGTCTCCATTTTGAGTCAAATTCCCATCTCTGGGGCGAATTAAAAGGCACTCACAACAGTCTTTATTGCAGCACTGGGCGTCTCCAGAGAAAAATAATTACTTGGTGACAAAATAATGGAACCCACAAACTTTGTGTCTTTCCCCAAGTGTAGAAGACATATTCTGGCTGGATATTTAGTGTGGCTGGCAATTTAACAGACATGCTTTCAGCTATACTCCCGAGAGTACCTTCGAATTGTTTCACACAGTGTTTACAGCAATGCAAAATGTGCAATGCCATCCCGAACAAGACATGCCATCATCAAGACGGGTTAAATGTCTAAGGGCTGATGTTTTGTACCTGTGGTCCAGAATTTCATTTAATTGGACATTTTGAGTATACTAGCAAATCTAACACAGAATTCCAGGAATCGTTCATGTCTTTTCGTATGATTTTTTGATCTTTCGATTTATCAAAAACTTGTGGCAGGGCAGCATCTGCTGGAAACATGTAAGTAGAAAGTACTAAAAACGAGAAGTCCAAAGAACTACTGCAAAGCTTACTCATAACAACGTGTATCGTTTTTCATAACAATATTTCGGCTGGCCATACCAGCCTTCTTCAGGTTTACAGATCTATAAACCTGAAGAAGGCTGGTATGGCCAGCCGAAATATTGTCATAAAAAAACAATACACCTTAAGAAACTACGGTTTTCATTTCATATAAGGGCCTTATTACACTTGTGGTTCATCTGTATTACATTTGAAAACTTTTACATTTGGGTCAACTATCACATTTCTGGCTTTAATGGCTTAACTATCCGTTTTACTGCAGCTTTCCGAGCGGGTACATATAATTCTTTTTTAGGCGGCACCACCCGATTCAAACAACCTTCGACTCTGCATTCGGCTGGTGCTACTTTTGTAATCGTGCGTCTGTCGAGGTATATCAATAGTCCAGTTTCGAGTTCGCTAGGACCGCTGAATTAAAGAAGTGAAGACGCACTTTTTACAGGATTTAGCCTCCATCTGAATTAATATATTCACAAATTCCAAAGAGAAAAAGACCTATTTATTGCCCTGTCTATTGTGTATATTCACATTTTAAACACTTACTTGCCGGAATTTCTGAATATTTTACTTGACGTCGAGGCTAACCCTGTATAAATGTGCCGTTAATGTTTGTATTCAGCAGTAATTTTTAATTCGAAACTGGACTATTGTTCAGTAAGTTTTTCTTTGTTGTAAGGTCGACATTGCTCCACACCAAGTGTCAGTTTTGTCTGCGACGTGCGAAAGATTGTCATATTCTTGTTTACATTTATTCTTTTAATGTCTCTAAATCCAATCGTTTATTGCATCTGATTGAATATGAGGACGGTCCTTTACTAAAACATGCAGAAAAAACAAATCTTGCTTGATTTCATGCAGTACATGCAGTGCCTCAAAAATATACTAGTATATAAATATCTATTTACTAGGATGCGTGAAAACAAAGCCTACTTCCTGAATGTGGAGTCTAAACTAATTCCTGTGTACTGTCACATGGAAGCTGCTGAACTTGGACCATGCGGAGGAGGTGGATGGACGCTCGTCATGAAGACCGATGGCAAAAAGGTAGCAGCAGCGATGCAACAATTTTTGCCCCCGCAGGGATTTCGACCAGAAGGCGAAATCCCGAGGAGACACTCTAGTAACTCGCGCGTACATTAAGGAAAGTACTTACAGTTGGAATATACAGTCAGTATGCCAGAAAAAATCTCGAGTTGCTTGAACAGGGGCCGCGAGGAATCGGTAGGTAATGAAGACGTTTCTATTGTTTGCGCCCGCAAGTATGAAATGGTTAGGATGACGTAAAGACAGAAAATCGCGAGGGGGCCGGTTAGGTAGATTTTGTGACATTTATTGTGTAGTCATACTTCGATACTCTTTTGCGTTACGTGTTATCAATGACATTCTGTGGAGCAGTTGTTTTGAAAGTTGTGGACCAAAAGACACTCGTTAAGCGCAGATGAAGTTCTAAGGTGCATATAAATGGATATATGTATATGGGGAGTTTGCCAGACACGAGTTCACAATTTTTTGATTGGAAACCTTGCCAGACAATCTTTCTCTCTCTTTGCCGGAATAAGACTCAGCCCCACCAAGCAAGACGAGTGAACGACGGCTAGCTTATCACTAGCAGAACGTTGGACGATTACAGAAATTCGCCGACAATCAAATTCTGTGCTGACTTATTCCCTGCTCCGGAGGTGTCCTTCCGCTATAAGATTTAACATAAGACTAGAATGCGCGAGCGTGAATTGATCAAACGTCCTTTTAATTTCTAAGGCTTACTTTCCGGGAAATAAAATGAACTGAATGTAAAAAGTGAAAAAGAAATAGCGAAAAATTCAACTTCTAATTAAATATTTTCTTATGGTTTAGAATAAACTATTCTCGAAACTGAGAATGCTTTGATCAAAGCTGTGTGAATCGAGCCGAAACTGGGCATGGAACCTTGCGTTTCCTGTATTTATCTGACCTATTGTATGGAATATGTGTGAAAATCTTCATTATGAATCGGTGTATTTCAAAGACCTACACAAGAGCAAGAATACTATTGACCGACAATATACAGAACGGGAGCAGCTGTAGTGTCAACTATTACTAGTATAGTATTCATTGATAATATATTGCCCGCGTTCATGATTGGCTCCAATCCCTCGACTAATTCTTCATAAGCAACCGCCGTTTACCATATTTGGAAGATGTAGGACTGAATATACATGATCGATTCTATGGTATATTGCCTGTTATTAAAAACTGACTCATTGGATGATACAATTCTAGTGCTCTGATTGGCTTAGCCATCGTGGTATATGAGCCATTATACCATGCTCTCCAAATATGGTAACTGTACGGGTCTGCTCAAAATTAAAACAAGCTGAAAATCGGTTGTTTTTACAAATAAAGTTGGGAAGAATTCTCGATACTGTTTTGTGGGCGTTTCTGATAAAACAATTATTCTACTCGCCTTTGTTGGATATGAGATGATTATAGCCATCTCGGCGCTACGCGCCTCTTTGGCTAATCTACCATTTCATATCCAACGCGCACTCGTGGAATAATTGTTAAATGACTCATCGATCAACCTCGAGCAGTTTCCTTTAAACCTACTTTTGAAATGACTCCTGGGTTCAAACCTTTCACTGTTTTAAACTATTTTTTGCTAAAATTGCGACCGAGAATTCCTAGCAAATCAGTTTTGCGACAGTTTGCAATCCTGGACATAAGTGAACAGCGGAGCTGGTTTTAGGAAAGTAACTAAACAGCTTTTAGACAATTAGCTGAAAGGAAGCAAACATACCGTCAGCTTTTGGTTGGGGGTACAGGTATTGAAATATTAAATTTGGAAATTGCCAATCTATATTGGACAGCACGGTATGGGAGATTGTTGTGTAAACCATTCCGGCTCATGTTTAAAATTAGCTGTTAGGTAAATTTTAAGCTTTGGTATGAATGGAGCAAAGGGCGTGATTTCAATCCAGTGCAATCCTTGGGGGAAGTTTTTTTAATAGCGCACGAACAAAACGTTTATTTTCTGAAAGGTTGATAGTTTCAGATGAATTGTTAGTTTTACAATGAAGGAGCAGAATGTTTGTACAGAAATTGATTTTATTCAATTTTTGCCCTTTTTGGCATATTTCCTACCATAATAATGTTGCGCAAAAGTGGGTGATCCCAGATAGCCCGTGAGGAGAATCTTGTGTGCCGCTCGCAAAAATGTTACCGCGAAGGTTTCTTACAAGAATAGTGCTTTACTGACAAACCACGCGGCTAATTTGGCTTGATTTTGGCTGAGTTCCTTTTTATTTGCGTTTTTATGAACCGAGACCGAGTTGAGGTCCATAAAATCGCGAAAAAGAACCAGCCAAGTATCCAGTCATCTTGACCGAAGATTTGGTGAATCAAGGATTTATTACATCCCTCTTACCGGGCCAAAAAGGAAATTGTTTCTCGCAAAGAGCACAGGATTCGCTTCATCTTGACGGGTCGTAAAACAGCCAGTCATATAATGTAGCCTCTTCACACTGGCTCACTAGTACACCGACATGGTGGCCATTGACCATCATCACAGCGAAATGTTTAGAGGAATCTCGCCATGTCACGCCATTTACCTTGCTGGGGTATTTATTACATTATTTTAATTCTTACCAGGCGTTTGATTGTCTTAGCCTAGATATTCTCAAAACTACTTGGGGAGGGGGAGGAGGTTGGATGTAGTTGACCCCCAGGGCCCAGAAGGCCAAATTGGATAGTCTTACAAACTTTTGGAGCAGCATGTGAATGCTGTGATGTCGTGTGAAAATAGTTTGTTAATTGACGATATATCATTCTTTATCTGTTTAGAATACCTCTCATTACGATTCAAAATTGTGGACCGACAAGAAGGACCATAATCCCTCTGCGGGAAAGACCCTGCTTGATCATCAAGAAACAAAATTACCCACCTACTGGAGCACACCATTTACTAAGATCTGCCTCGCTATGAAGATCGACCATCAAGTTAATTCGATCGTCATCAACAAACAAGCCAACTCCTTACACTCCCTGATCGCTGACGGAAACTACCGTTCGACGTCACTGGGTCGTGACACCTGGAAAAAGCTGATTGGCCGACAGGCATCTCTGCAGAGAAATTGTAATAAGGAAGGGTTCAATTCTCGTGGGTTGCACCCGTCCCGCAGCAAAGCAAGAATAGGTATCGTAAGTAACGAACAAAACGAGTGTAATTCCCCTGACTCAACAATTGGGTTTGGTACTAGTGGTTATCCTTATAAGAACAACACCTGTGGAAACATGGCCGATTATCAACCAGACAATGGTAACAAAAACATTGAAGCGATGGGCTACATCCTGGTGCAATAAGTATACAAATGCAACGTCAAAAATATTGTTCCACTTCATATAGTCAATGATCAGTGTCCTTTACAATGCTAAATAGAAATTGTAGGTTAAGTGAAGGCTTAATTCTTGCGTGAACAAATATTTGTGGAAATCAAATTAAATTAACACATTGCTCAAAACAAAACCTTTTGTTCTGTTTTCCCCCGGGGGGTACTCCTCGAAATTCTTGGTGGGGGTGTGCCGCCCGGTTCTCCAAGTCCTGACCCTATTTCGGACCGAAAAATGTCATTTTCTAGACCCTTTTCAGACCTAGCCTTATGTTAGTGTTACTTAAATTAGAGCGCAAACAAAAAAAAAATCCTTAAATTCGTTTCAATTTTCGAATTCGCATATTTCTCTTTCTTTCTTACTCATTTGGAATTGAAACGATAAATACGTTCATACACTCCCGTTGTTCCCTCGAAAACCATACCCGATTCCAGACCAAAATGGGCAAAGTCTATACTCGTTTTCAGACCCAAACGGCGCAAAATCCCTACCCGATGGGGCGGCAAATACCTATATAGTTTATATGAGGGAGTGCCCCCCCCGGGTGTTTCGTCTGTCTCAATCATTCATTTATATTTTTTCCATGATAGGTCTCTCTCCAGAGAACACTCCCGGAATTTTTAAAAAAATAGCCCTTTGACGCATCCCCACAACCCCCTTCCCCTACCAGGGCAAGCGCCCAAAATTACACACGCACACACACTCCATGACACAAACCCGACACTTTCTGGCACAACACAGCTGGAAAAAAAGCACTTAATCGAAACAGCGCCACCCGAATAACCTTGGCATCTTTTAAATCGAAAAGCAATAAGCGCCGCGGCGCTCTTTCGAAAAATTCAATGTTTTACTGCATTTAATTGAAAGGGCTCCGACTTCAAGTAAGAGTTGCACAGGAGAAGAAGAAAAATAAATAAACGCCTCGGCGCTCTTTCGAATAAACATATTTTTCTCCTGCTTTCAACCCATTCAAGCGATAGTGCCGCATTTTCCAGCAATATAGCAGCGCTTATTAATTTTTGCTAATCAGACCTTTTAATATGTTGATTACCATTACTGATGTAAGCTTGAAGCATATTGATATAAGTTTAAAACCCGTCTTTAGAAGAAATGAAAGTTCAAAACAAAACAAGGTTTGAACTTTCATTTCTTCTTAGCAGTATGGTATTTAAATAAGTGTGATGAAAGTGATAATAAAGTATCTCCATAAACAACTTTAAATTTTATTTATCGTAGAGTACGTACGTGATACTCCCATTAATTGAGTCTGCAAGGCTGCGTATTGAATTTTAGTCAGTAAAGTTCGCACAAACCAAATTGTAAAAAAGTCGGAAATTTCGAAAGAGCCCCGCGGTGCTTATTGATTTTCCTACTTGAAGATGCCAAGGGGATTTGAAGGCGAGCTTTTTCGATTAAATGTAATGCAACAACAACATAAGCTTTATTTGCTTAATTTTATCCCCCTTGCATATTAAAATACATAATCCCCTCACATTTCAATTAGCTTTTCGTAAAGAAAAACTTCACAAATGTTTATTGGAAATATTAAACACGACGCTATAATTACTAAAATTAAACTGATCTGTGTTTCTTTTGCGCCACATTCACGGATTTTCTTAGTTGTTGGTTCATCGATTTCCAAAGCCAGAACGACAGTCCGAAATTGAACAGCGTCATTAAAATTCTAGGGTTCCACGAAAGTGTCGCTGTCATGGTAAGGTGCCCCTGAGGCGATTCAAGTTTTCATTGCCTGCACCAGCTTACATGCACCCTATGAAACAACTGTATAAACGCCATAAAATTGCGGCTAAATTCGGCGTTTGAATTAATTTTCAGCAGGAATCACCAAAAGCGCAAAAAAACTCGCCGTCGTCTTCCTTTAGCCTAGCTGCAAACGCTACTTTTTTTCGATATGAACTAGGTACCGGCGTAAAGTATAAGTAGCTTTTTCTCCGCTGGAACAAAAAAAATTTAATTGGTCTGTTCTGATCCCACGACTTATGGGATCGACCTTCGAAAACATGCGGGTCAGTATTCTTTCATTGTTCTTTCTTCTTGTATTAGATTTGGTCTAATAAGGACGTAACTAATGATCAAATTATACATACTGTATCATGCAGCCATTATCTTGCAGGTTTTGTGAATAGAAAGGCTTTTCATGGTGACTGGTCTAAACGTCCAAAGTTTCCGCCAAATGTATTGGAACTTACGTGACTTTATGTCTATTTTACATTGAACTGATCATGAGTTATGATTGATTGCTGATCCCCCGATTTCGTTGATTGACAGTTTTATAGATTGATTTAAGTTGCTTTTGGTGAGCTTTCGTTTAGTTTTGCAGTTGCGATAAGCTTATGGACACGAACAAATAGTTTTTATTTCTTTGATACTCAAGTTCTTACACGCTAGAGAGATCCACTCTTCAGGTGCGATAGTGTTTTGTTTCTATTTTTTTGTATCATGTTTGTTTTATGATTTAACCAATTTTTATGCTTTCGTGATTCCAGTTTAGCTTAGATTTTGGAACCAATTAGGACATTGTGTAATCTTTTCTTGCAGAATAACTGTTTATTAAAGAAATCTCAAAGGCTTGATGCGATTGTTTCCTTCTGTGCCAGTGACATATAAGGTAGACATTCTAAAGGCTAGATCAGATTAAGCACTGCACATCTTAACTGACAACCTACACAATCCGCCCTCTAGTCCAGTGACCAGAGTGAATTGATCGAAACTGATGAACAAGGAATCGGCATGCTGGTCTTGAAAAGCTAGAAAAGAGCGGCAGGAAAATTTTCAGACTGTTTATCGAAAAATGGAAAACACACTGCATTCAGTTTTTCAGCAATAATGTCAATTCGCTCTTTTTTGCAGAGCTTCTGATATTTCGCGTGGTCGCGGAGCCGCGAAATTCAGGTAAATCCGCGAAATTCACAAAAACACGCAAAATTCCGCGAAATGCGGTAGAAATCTTATCAAATACATGTCCGTACAGCAATTTTGAAACCTGTCTCAGCTACTGGGGGTATTTACTTGCCGTAAACTCCCAAATTTATGTCAAAACTTCATCACTGAAAACGTGCAACAACGTTCCGAAACTACCAGGCGAGATTATGTTGCGAAAAACTGGGCACTAGCCATTTCTGGAGCGTATTGTTGTTGAAAGAGCAAATGATGACCTCTGTTAGAAAAACATTAAAAACGCTGGTCTGATCAACGCAAAACCGATCGATTTCTAGCGACGTTTTCCCTGAAAATAACCACAAAATCCGCCGTTTTTTTACCGATTGCTTTCCGACCAAGTTTGTCCTGAAAATTCCCGCGAAATTCCGCGAAATCGGCCGATTTTCCGCGATTTTGTCCCTAAAAATCCCGCGAAATTTGACTTTTTTTTCCCGCAATCTATCAGAAGCCCTGTCTTCGGTAGACTCTGTTGATCGAAGCATTCTTTTAGCAGCCAGATCCATCTGAACAGACTTAGACACCCTAGTACAAATCCTCCCCCTTTCCCGATTCTCTACACACTTTAATTCAGCAGCCCCCCCGCACTTGAACAACTGCTCCGCGGGCCCTGAGCTTATGGTCCAAATAGGCCAGTGCTGCAATGAGCCGGAATCTTGCTCTGATGCCAAAAATTGACAGAGCACATAAAAATTATCTTACATCCGAAATTGGAGAGGAAACGCATTTGAGGGAGATATTTTATGGCAGTTTGATTTTTCAACAAAGTAGTATGATTTGTATTGGCCGCGGCCAAAACTACTTTTTGCTTGTATCTTGTTAAACGTTTGATAGTTACGCTCAGATGTGCTGTAAATGTTACCACATCATCTTTAAATCATTTTTCTAGAAATTTAGGTGCCAACTTTGTGTTCAGAAAGAGGTAATTCATTATTTTTTTGAAAAATCAAATTTGGGTGACGTCGCCAGCTACGAACTTCCTCATTTTAAGAAAATGGTGCGGGTTTGGAAAACCAAATCACTATTTTATTTTGTTTAAAATATAACCCACTAACGAAGGTAAAATCATATAACTTTCATTTTCGTAAAAATGATCGATGTCACATGACTTCTTAGTGCAAATGGCCAGAAGCCTATGACTCTGAAATGGCCTATACCTCGATTTTCTCTGTTAAATACTTCTGCCGTCCAAATTCATCAAAAGCAACTTAAAACGGCCGCAAAAACAACTGGACCAAGTTTGTTTTATCGTTGTTTTTTTGCTATGCAACTGCGGACAAGAAGCTGATCTACGTGTTTTTATCAGTAGAAATATGCACGGCCATGCGCAGGCACATCCCAGGTAGGAGCTATGCGCGATGAGTAATCTGACAAAATTATGAACCTCGCACTCGAATACGCGAGGGCCTTTGGCAAACAAAGAAGTAGGTCCTTATGGACTAATGATTTATGAGTGCTTTGATGTTCGACAGGAGAGATTGATGTGTTCGAACTTTAAATTCTCCAGACGTGTTTGGTCATTTCATTACTAAACAGGGGTATGCAATTTATGTTACCATGGAAAAATCCTAGGATAACTAAGCTAAAAGAAAATTTGTAAAATCGTGAGCAGAGTGGTCGACCGTTTAGCAAACTTAATAATTGTACCAGTGGACTTTAGTTGCCTATTTACCTATCCTTGGCTTTGGATAAGATACTTGAGCAAGAATTGAAAGGGAAGGATCGCATTTTTTGTCGCAGAAAATTAGAAAATCTGTATTTTATAAAAGAACCATTCACCATTAAAGGATGTCAAATATTAAACACAACATAGAGGAAAATACTCGGCTTTACTGTTTTACGTAACATTAAACTATTTTATTAGTAGGCTGAAACAACTTGGTTTTTCCTTCATTAACAGAAACAATAGAGAACGTATGTACGTACGGGGGTGGGGGTGGGGGGGGGGTGTTCAAGGCGTAGGTCCCGTACAGGCACCTATGTCTAGCGATAACTTTGACGCTGTCATTGATCTG